TCTCAAGGAAGATAGCTGGAAGTATTTCAGCCTAAGAAACTAACTTATACTGCTGAATACTATATAGGATTCAAACTGAAACTGTTAGGATACCATAACAGAAAAAAAAAAAACCTGTTTATATCTGATTTATGAGTAAGTCTAAAGACTTGTTCGTTTACAAAATTTCACATTTAGGAACCTAAAACTGGAGGAACCTCACAGATTTATTTTAGGGCTGTTAAAAATCAACAGTTTCATCAACAATCATTTTCATGAAGGATCAGTTTATGATTATACTACTGGAGTATCAGCTGCATTTTATTAGTGATCTGCATAGTTCCTTTAGATACATCTCACCTACCATCCCAACCATCTATGCCATTTTTGAATGAAGCCATACATACAGTTGACTAGAACTCAACACAGCAGTGGGAGACAAAACTTTCATAATGGAAAATGAAACCTCCAAAAGTAGATCAGCTGATGACAAAACAGAAAACAGGTAGCAGGTTACTTACCCATGCGCTAAAAACCAAAGTAGCAATTTGTGTAGCTATGCTCAGAAGGGGAAACTCACCACACAGAGTGAACACAGTACAGATTTTTTTCAAAATGATTACTGCCTCCATCTACACAGCAAAACGAACCACTCTCATTTAAACCTAACTTCTGGGTAGCAGTATTCCATAATAGGCACAGATATCTATTCTTCAGTACCTGATGCCTCTGACCTCCTCCAGTCAAGCCACTCTTTAAATGTTTGTCTTTCTCCTGATGTGCCCCCAGTCCCAGTCTCCTTCACTCAGCCACTCCACACTGCCCTCTTGTTGCTGGAACAACTTGTTTCTAAGACTTTTGCCTAGCTAGTGTCAATTCCCCAATGCCTGGCTCCTGATTCCTCCTCAACTTCAGTTACTCTGTGGATTACTCAGGGTAAGACTGGGACCTCCTTAATTTAGTGTCCAGCTTCTAGCTGATCAGCATCATGTTACAGGAGCTTTGACAGAGCTTAAGAATACATTAGCAGTATTGTAATTATCCTTTTCTGAGCAACTGAGAACCATAATATCCCCCACTCCGCCCCCCCCCCCCAACCAAAAAAAA